TTATAACCCATAATTTAGTAAAAAAACTACAAAATAACATCGATCAATTGTTTAGTCCCTCAAACTAAACTTTACGGCTTAGCAAAGCCGTATTTTTCAAAAAATATATTCTTCTTCGCTTTCTCATTCTGAGAAAAATGTTCATACAATTAATACTCAGTACTGTGTTAATTTTCAACAATCCAAAAATCAGTGGAGAATCCAATACAAAATGGATACAGAGTTTAACTAAAAGTGTTCAAAAGAATAAAATTCACCAGGCAATATTTTTCATAAACGAAAAAGAAGTGAGAAATAATCAAATAGTTGTGAATCTAATAAAAACGCTTTCGAAAAATACCCCAGTCATAGAGATTATCACGCCAAACTATGAAATACCGACAGAATTCGATTTTATTAAATACAATCCAAGAGTTTCGTTATTTATTCTCTCCAATTCAGAAAACGATCGCGAATTTACTCGAACAATCGATTTTTTAACCAAACTATCAGAAGCGAAACGTCGACCAAAATGTCTCCTGGTTCTATTTCACAAAATTGAAAATTATCGAAAACTTTTCGAAGAACTCTGGCATCGTCAGTTCCTCGAAGTTACTCTAATTGAAATTGGAGAAAGAATAATCGAAATCGAATTAAATGCTCACACAAAAGACTATTATCCTGATCGTAAGATTATTAATTACAATCCTTTCTTAAAATTGATCACTAACGAAACACCAACAACAAATACTGTTTGGTTTCCGGACAAACTAAAAAATATGCACGGCTATCAATTAGAAGCAATTTTACTGTTCGCTCCTCCGGACGTAATTATTCCCGAAGATCCTAAAAGTGAAATTTTTGGATTAGCACTTATGAAAATAGAGGCATGGGAAAAAGTGATAAATTTAAAAATGGTAAGATCTTCACTTCGAGAATGGGGAAAATTTGGATGTACACTTGAAGACAGTACTGAAGTTTGTCTCCATATGTATACAAATAAAGCACAAATGTTAGGCAATGAAGTACCTGCAGCAATATGTGACGGAAAACCATCCGAACTTGGAAAAAGTATTCAGGCAAACAAAATCGGAATGCTCGTGCCACTCGTAAAAAGAGACATCGAAATCGATCAATTAAAATGGCAAATCAAAAATATTCTCGCCGTTATGATTCTACCCATGTTCTTTTGGATTGTTTCCCAACTGTTGGGCTTCTCGAGAAAAATATGGAAGTTCCACTACATGTTTCAAATAACTCTGGGCAATGTTCTACCACAGGAACCGGAAACACACGGCGAGAGAATCATCTTCGTCGCATTTCTCATCGGATGCTTCATGTTCTCCTCGGAAATCTACACGGCTATCAATCAAGTCCAATTGAAGGGCAATTCACCGTACAAATTCGAAACTTTAGACGACGTTGTCGACTCGAATATACAGATAATGATTAATAAGAACTATATTAGCATTCTAAACACTTCTGATGATGTTAGTTTGCAAAAAATTTTGAATAATGCTGTCGTGATGTCTTTCGAACAAGAAGAGTGCGTGGAGCTTTTGTTGAAATACAAAAATGTGACTTGTATTCTAGTAGTTTTGAGGGCAGAATTACAACTTCGGAATAGAAGAGATGAATGTGGACAACCGCTTTCAAAATTTGTTCTTGACAAATTTCCATCTGATTCAGGAGCTACTATGCTTGGAGCTGGTGTTCCCTATGCAAAGCGCTTCGATCAAGTGCTTCAGAGAGTCATTGATTCAGGTATTAGAAACAAGTGGTTGGAACCATATATTGAGACAAATGTTCAGTTTTCTACAATTAGCAAATCTTGTACTAGCAATGAAATGGAACCTGTCATGACAATGCGTCAAATAATGTTTGTTCTCTTCACTGGTTTTTCCTCTTCGATTGTCATTTTCATTTTGGAGTTTATTACCCATCGTATCACGCAAACTAATAAAGCTTTATTTCAAAAAGTGTCTGTAACTGAGTTTTAAATTAATAATAAAAATGTTCTAATAATATAAATGATATTAGATAATAAAAGTACTAATAATGAAAATAGAGATAATAAAAATATAGAAGTGTTAAGTTATTAATGTTCCTAAATTTTTTTTTCTAAATAACATCGTCATTTTGTTTCTTTTTTATGTTTCTTGAAATTTGATTTCTAATTTTTTTCTAAAAACTGTAGCTGACAGTAGTCATAAAAATAGTCAACAATTTAAAGTATTTTCATTTTGTTAATTGTTAATTAATTAATTAATAATTATTAAGTAATTTTAGTTATTAATTCATTATTATTAATTTATTTATTTGTTTCCCTCCACGGAAATCTTTAGTAAACTGCGAATGATACATACGTGTGTCGAAAGAAATTCCCAATTTTTTTCTAAAAATAATACAGGGTTGCTACAAAAATTTAATTTTGTTTTTCCCTGACTTTTTCCTGATTTCCAGACAAAATTTTTTGTCTTCATATTTTATAATAATTAAACATGACCGAGTGATAAAATCATTATTTTATATTATAAGAATATTATTAGGTATATTGAAAATCATTGAATTCTTGATAAAAGAATTTTATTAAAAAATTTGAGAATAATAAATGAATTTCTTCGGGGAATTTTATTATTTATGAAAATAATTGAATTCTTGCAAAGAATTTTATCAAAAAATTTGAGAATAATTTGAATTTCTTCAAAAAATTTTATTATTTATGGAAGCAATTGAATTCTTGCGAAGAGTTTTATTAAAATTTTCGAAAATCCTAATTAAATTCTTTTGAAGAATTTCTTTCAATTTATTTTAAATATGTAATGGAGTTTCTTTAATTATTTTAATTGAAAATTTTTACAGTAATTGAATTTTATAAACAATTTCTTTCAAGTTTTTAAAATAATCGTGTTTCTTAATAATTAAAATAATTAAACAATTTAAATTATTGAATTTTATTAAAATTTTTAAAAATTAATTAACATCTTTTTAGAATTTTACTACAATTTTTTAAAATAATTTTAATAAAAATTTACAAAAATTGAATTGTTTCGAAGAATTTATTAAAATTTTAGAAAATAATTGAATTTTTGCAAAGATAATACTATTTAAAAAAATAATTGAATTGATTCGAAGGATTTATCAAAATTTTAGAAAATAATTGAATATTCTCGAAAAATTTTATAACGAATTAAAAAAATAATTAAATTTTTTCGTAAAATTTTATTAAAATTTTTTTTAAAAATTGGATTTTCTCATGAAATATTTTAAAAATTGTACCTATTAAAAATAATTGAATTGTTTTAAAGGATTTTTAAAAATTTTAGAAAATAATTGAATTCTTTCGTGAAATTTTATTAAAATTTTTGAAAATATATACAATAGTAATTAATTTTGTACTTAATAAGTGAATTTTTTAAATTTTGATTATGAAATTATTTAAAAATTTATAATTGAAAATTTTATAATTTGCATAATAATATAAGAAATTGAATATCTCGTTCCGCCCGCTACCGTGCGTATCATTTGCTAGTTTTTAATAATTTTTAAAAAAGTTTTTTAATAATTTTCAAATTTATTCATTCTTCAATTAATTATATATTAGAAAATAAAAACATGAAATAATTTTTTAAAAAATTCAGTTAAATTTTTTCAAACAAATTAATTCTGCAGAATTGTTAGTTAAAAGTATGAAAAATTCAAATTTTTAAAGATTTTACTTTGAAACATTTTCAAAATTCAATTATTTCTAAAAATTTAAGCTGTAATGCTTTTAATGTTTAATTATTATTATCTAAAATTTTAACTGCAATCCATTTTTTAATCAATATTTATTAGAAAATTCTACGAGAATTCAATTATTTGTTTCTTTATTTTACAATCAATTAAATAAAAAAATAAATAATTTATTGAATAATTAAATGTTCCTCAAAATTAAGTTCTCATAAAGAATTTTATCAATAAATTTTTAAATCTTTAAATTCTTTCGACAAATTTTAATAAAATTTTTAAGAATAATTATACATTTTTCGAGGAATTCTATTAAAATTTAAATTCTGCGAAAATAATTGAATTCCTAAAAAGAATTTTATTATTTACGAAAATAATTGAAGCTCTGTAGAAAATTGTATAGTTTATGAAAATACTGGAATTATTACGAAGAAATTTATAACAAATTTGTAAATAATTGAATTCTTGTGAATTTTTATTATTGATGAAAATAATTAAATGATTTAGTAGAATTTTATCAAAATTTGTTTTAAATAATTGCATTCTTTGGGAAAATTTTATGAAAATAGTAGATATTGAAAATCATTGAATTGAGGAAAATTTTTGAAAATAATTGAAATTTTTCCAGGAAATTTATTAAAAATTTTTATAATAATTGAATTTCGGAGAAGAATTTTATTATTTATAAAGATTATTGAAATTTTGACGAGAATTTTTTTAAACTTTTGAACATAATTGAATTTTTGCAATCAATTTGTCAAAATTGAAGGTTTAAAAAAATTTCAAATTAATATCTTTTGAAGTTCATCTATTTATGAATGAAGTTATTTAATTAGAATTTATTGTCAGAAATAGAAATAATTGTTTTTCCAGTACTTTTAATAAAAATCTCTGACTTTTCCCGGAATTCCCTGACAAGTGGCAACCCTGAATAGTCTAATAATAGTAAAAAATTTCAAGTATTTTTAAACGTTGATTAGAAACTGCGAAGCACTAAATTCAGTAACTCCTTAAAATCAACAGAATAATAATTTCTCCTTTCATGTAAAAAATAAATAAAATAATCTAAGGAATTAAAAGAAAGACAAATATTTGTCATATTTTTCGTACAGTTTGTACGTAAAAAAATACACAAAAAGGGGCGAAGAAGTTGAAATATAGAAGAGGGCACAGCAGTTTTATGGAGCGGGACAATTTCACACGAGTGAAATTCAGTTTTTCTTCGCAATCGTTTCGGAAACCTTGAAACGATAATAATTTCTTTTTACAAACTTTTTGTGTTAAAAACTCACCGAAAATTGCGAGGATACTTCTTCGAAAATTTGACAGCTGCCTTAAAATCGGACACCAAATCAGAGCACAGAAGATTAGGATCGGAACAATCCGGTTCTCCTGGACACCAGTCTCTGTGCTTTCTCGATTGTAAGCTGCCTCGTGGATCACGAACCAAAAACACTACTTTTGCTCCCAAGCTGAAAAAATTACAAAATAAAATTAATATTTTAAGCTTTACTTGGTATAAGATGTTAAGGACTCAAAATAAATCGAAACAAAAAACATAATCTATTTATTGAAGTTATTTTTAAAGTTTATGTATCAAAAAAGTTAATTAATTTTCCAAGCTATCAAGTGAATAAAATTGTTGTTTTTAAATATTCAAATCAATTATTTTAATAACTAAAAAATAATAATACCATACAACAAAAATTTTTGAATTATTTTAAAAAATATTTTAATTAGTATTTGAAATACTATTTTTAAATACATACTGAAAAATTTTCTGTAAAAAAAAAATTGCATTATTTTACAGGAGAAGAAAAGTTGTGTTCTCAAATAACCAAAAATGTTTTACATACCTAATAATAAAGAATATTTAATAAGATTACCTTTCTTGTGCTAAAATTTTTTCAATGAGCCGTAATCGTAATCGTACAATTTTCATAGACTGGAATGGAAATAATTGACAAAAGGGAGAAAGAAATCGTGGATCCCAGCAAATTGATTTGTGCATTAGGCATTGTTCCCAAAGAGGGGCGTTGTGGTTAAAAAGCCAAACATGAGTCTTTCCAAAGTCCAAATAATGTTCTAAAAAAATAAAAAATAGTGTATATTAATTATAAATAATGTAAGGGAGAAACATACACACTTATTGGGACACACTTATTGTTAGCTCAATATCTTACACAAAAAATTTATTTCTCCTATTTTTAAATTTTTCGTGTCAGTAGGAGGTATAAACTAACAATAACATATATCATAGTCAGTTTCCTAAAACTAGTACTTTAGTACAGGGCTCGAACCAGGGAAAGTATTTAAAAATACGGACTTTACGGACCAAAAATTAAAAATTATTCGGAGTGATCGATTTCTTCACGTTTTATAATAATTTTTAAAGATAAAAAATTGATAAAATCATTATTTTATACTAGCAAATGTTACGCGCGGAACGTGATATTCAATTTATTATTGTTATGGAAATTACAAAATTTTTTATTTTCAAATATAAATTTTTTAAATAATTTCATAATCAAAATTCAAAAAATTCACTTAAGTACAAAATTAATTATTTTTTATTTAATTATTTTTTTTCAAAAATTTTAATAAAATTTCACGAAAGAATTCAATTATTTTCTAATATTTTAATAAATCCTTCTAAACAATTCAATTATTTTTTTAAATAATAAAATCTTTACAAAAATTCAATTATTTTCAAAACAATTTTAATTAAATTCCTCGGAAGAATTCAATTTTTTAAAAAATTTTTAACACATTTCAAAGAAATTCAATTTTTTTCTAAAATTTTAATAAATCCTTCGAAAAAATTTAATTATTTTTATAAATAGTAAAATTCTTCCCAAGAATTCAATTAATTTTATAAATAGTAAAATTCTTTGCAGAAATTTAATTATTTTCAATACAATTTTAATTGAATTCTTCGGATGAATTCGACTATTTTTAAATATTTCCATAAATTTGAATTATTTCCCAAAATTTTAATAAATTCTTCGAAACAATTCAACTATTTTTGTAAATACTAAAATTCTTTGCAGGAATTAAATTATTTTTAATCCAATTTAAATAAAATTACATGAAAGAATTCAATTATTTTCAAAAATTTCTATAAAATTCAATTTCATCAAGAATTTAAAATTCTCCAAAAATTAGTTCAATTATTCTCAGAATATTTTTACAAAATTCTATATAAAAATAAAATTATTTGCTAAATTGTTAAATATATTCGTCAAAAAATTGAAAGAATTCAATTATTTCCAAAAAATAATAAAATTCTTGTGATAAATTCAATTATTTTGAAATTCTTTTAAGAAATTCAATTAATTTCGAAACAAGTTTAATTGAATTTCTAGAAAAAATTTTATTATTTTTAAATATTTCTATAAAATTCTTCATAACAATTTAATTATATCTTAAAAGTTTAATAAATTCTTCGAAATATTTCAATTATTTTTGTAAATAGTAAAATCTTTTGCAAGAATTCAATTATTTTCAATACAATTTTAATAAAATTCTTCTTCATAAAATTAAATTGCTTTCAAAACTTTCAATTAAAATTGTTAAAGAAACTCCATTAGTTTAAAAAAATTTTAAAGAAATTCTTCAAAAGAATTTAATTCGTATTTTTAAAAATTTTAATAAAATTCTTTGCGAGAATTTAGTTATTTTCCTAAATAACAAAATTATTTGAAGGAATTCTATTATTATCAAATTTTTTTGATAAAATTCTTTGCAACAATTCGATGATTTTCAATACATTCATAATTGAGCGTTTCGGTGCAATAATCGGTCTTGCACCGGCAGGATGCTATGAGGCAAGACCGATTATTGCACCGAAACGCTCAATTTTAAAACTGAAAATATTTGAAAAGAAAAATGATAAGAAAGTTAAGAAACAAAAAAGCAAACCACAACTAACTCCAAACTTCGAACAGATTACCGGAACATGTACTTCATTATTATTAATTATAAGAATATTGTACTTCTTCAAAATTAATTTCATCATTTCAATTCAATTATTATTTTTAAGAATTTTTAACTAAAATTCTACTTGAAATCAATTAATTTTCAAAGAAGTTCTTTGACAATTTTCAAATCCATTTGTTTACAATATTCAATTTTACGAATTTCAATTATTATCTAAAATTTTAACTGAAATTTTTTTTAAATCAATTTTTACTAGAAAATTCTACTAGAATTCAATTATTTAAATTCAAAAATAAATTATTTATTAAATAATTCAAGGGGGCGCATGATTATTCCCCAAAATTCAATTTCATAATATTCAAAACATCGAAATTCTTATTATAGAAACGTCAATTCACATAATTTTCATATTTCGAAATACCATTCAACATAATTTTCATTTTGTCGAATAATCATGATTCTAATTTTTAAATAATCGAATTGTTTTTTAACATAATTTTTATTCTGACTAATGTCTATTGGTTAGAAGTATTAAATGTTCGAATTATCAATTCGTCGAATGCTCAAAACATAGAATTGTTAATTCGTCGAATGCTCAAATAGTCGAAACGCCATCTGTTCGAATTGTCAAGTAGTAGAATGGTAAAGTAGTCGAATGTTTAAAACGTCGAATTATCAATTCGTCGAATGCTTAAAACATCGAATTGTCAGTTCGTCGAATGCTCAAAATGTCGAAATGTCAATTCGTCGAATCTTCAAAACGTCGAATTGCCAAAATTTCGAAAAATTTGTTTGATTTAATTAAACATTAACTTAAAACAAACAAATGTTAACTTAAATCAAACAAATTTTTTGAAATTTTGGCAATTCAACGAATTGACATTTCGACATTTTGAGCATTCGACGATTTGACAATTCGATGTTTTTAGCATTCGACGTTTTGAACATTCGACGAATTGAAAATTCGATGATTTGAGCATTCGACGAATTGACAATTCTATGTTTTGAGCATTCGACAAATTGATAATTCGAACATATTTAATACTTCAAACCAATAGACATTAGTCAGAATAAAAATTATGTTAAAAAACAATTCGATTATTTAAAAATTAGAATCATGATTATTCGACAAAATGAAAATTATGTTGAATGGTATTTCGAAATATGAAAATTATGTGAATTGACGTTTCTATAATAAGAATTTCGATGTTTTGAATATTATGAAATTGAATTTTGGAGAATAATCATGCGCCCCATAATTCAATATTTCTTAAAATTGAATTTTCATAAAGAATTTTGTCAACAAATTTTTAAATAATTATTCTCTCCACAAATTTTAATAAAATTTTTAAGAATAATTATATATTTCAATAAATTTGAATAAAACTGTATTAAATATAATTGAAATTCTGCAATCATTTGTAATTTCTCTAAAATTCTCCAAATTATATCGTACAATTTACGAACTTTTCGTCCTTTTTCAATCAAATTACGGACTTTACGGACCTTTTTTTTAAAAAAAAACGGACTTTTACTGACTTGAAGCAAATTTACAGACCTTGTGTAGTATACAATAGTATAAAATAGTAAAAAACGTAATCAATAGTATACAACATATACTATTTTTTTTCTTATACATATTATTGATTTAATTAGTTGCCACCTACCCATGTTTGAGTAATTGCACTTGAGCAATGATTCGATATTTTTAAGAGCCACTCTTGCAAAAGGCTCTTCTCTTATTTGAATAATTCCAAAGTCCAATAGTGGCTCGTAATGATAATAAGTGGCAGGATGGGCATTGATAACTTCACCAAGAAAAGTACTTCCGCTGCGCCAACTTGTTAAAATAATACTTCTCAATGGATTACCACCTCTTTCCATTACAAAATTGTCGAGATTACTGAAATCAATTCTATAATATTAGCGTAATAGAAAAGTTTACATTAAAAGTATTTCTACTTTTCTAAATAGAACTTTCTTTTTATTTTTATTTTCTCATTTATTCTTCTTTTCCTTTTCTTATTTCTCTATTTTTTTCACCTTATTACTTTTTTCTTTTTCCTTATTAATCATTATTGTCCTGGACATTTATCCGAACAGTAATTCTAATATTATTATTTCTTTCCCCCAATATTATTATTTCATCGATATATAATATTATTCAAATTATTACTTACTCATTTTTTCCATTAAGATATCTATAACTACTCATATTTTTTTCAATCAATTTCCGTTGTAGATTCAGAACTTTTTGAATTTCGTATAGAGTCACATCGCTGGCAGCACCTTTTATGTAATTCTAAAACAATTTTCAAAGTGGAAAATTAGTTTTTATGTATTATTAACAACTTTAATTTTAGGGTTGCTTAAATGACATTACGAAAACAAAAAGATGGAAATTGAATTTTTATATAATTAAGATTATTTATGGACAAGAGAAAGCTTTACAGTAGCAAAAAATAGTAACGTACAAACATGCTCATGCATTTAAAAGGACAAAACAACATTAATAAAAAAATTGAAATAATTATTTCTCTCATTGTTTTTCTTTTCCAAAAACAAAATTACCCAAATTTATTTTAAGAGTCTGTCAAAATCGATACTTCAATGGAAAAATAGCATCGACTTTGACATCCCCTTAAATCAAAATTTGCCTTAAAAAACGGAATGAACAATAGAAAGTTATAAATAAAAATAGAAATAAATTTTCAATAAACAAATAATATAAAATATTTGCATAAAAAAATAAGACAATTTTTTCCTACACAACTTACCGTGAAAGATTGGTGTATTTTAGTGTGCCGCAATTTTAACTCGGTATCCTAAATTTTAAAAGAAACGAACAAAAATTTATAGTTATTTCCCATCATTTTCCTTTACCCTTTTTTTTAAATAGAATTTTAATTTTATTTCATAGAAAATAAACAATATTTTTTTTCAATTATTTTCTCCCCTCACTCTAAAAAAAATTTTTTTTTCTATAAAAATATAAAAGATAATTTTTTTATTCCAGTTTGACAATTTTTTTAATGACTAAATTAGAAAATTATACTGCATTTGTAAACAATGTTTTTTCGAAACAATTCAACGCAGTGTTGTGCACGAATATTCAAAGCACTGAAACATTTAATATTGTGCTCTGATTTTGGCAAAAAGCAATAAATTTGATTTACATTGTACTTTGAGATTGTGATTTTAATATTACGTGCTCTGAGTGTCTAGTGTAACATTTACAATTAACTAAATCTAACTAACATATACTTTGCGATTAATAAAATTCCTTAAAATTTATTTTTCAAATAAAAATCTTTTTTCCTTAAAATTTATTTTTCAGATGAAATTCATTCTTTAAAATTCATTTTTCAGATGGAACTTTTTTATTTTTATTATTTTAATTATTTTTTTTATTATTTTTTTTTTTTACTTAAAAATTTATTTTTCAGGCAAAATTCTTTCTTTAAACTTTACTAGCAACTTCTTACTGCCTTTTTTAAATAAAATTAGCAATTTTTAAAATAATAGAATTTAAAAATTTACTAATTTAAACTTTTGTTGAAAACACTAAAAAAATTCAATTTTGGAGAAATTACAAATAATTGCAGAAATTCAATTATTTTCAAAAAAAAATACTTCTTATAAAATTCAACTATGTTTAAAATTTGAAAAAAAATTCTCGTAAAAATCTCAATTATCTTTATAAATAACAAAATTCTTCTCCAAAGTTCAATTATTTTCATACATGTCAAAAAACAAAAATTCTTGTCCTAATTTCAATTATTTTCAAAAATTTTTCTAATTTCAATTATTTTCAATATCTACTATTTTAATAAAATTTCTCAAAAAGAATTCAATTATATAAAAAAAATTTTAATAAAACTTGGTGCAAATATTTAATTATTTTCATAAATAATAAGAATTCCACAGGAAATCAATTATTTTCATAAAAAATAATTTAAATTCTAGAAAATAATAATTGAATTAAAATGATGAAAATAATTTTGAAAAAGTCACTGTAATAATATTCTTATAATATAAAACAATGATTTTATCACTTGGTGATCTAATTATTATAAAACATGAAGAAATCGATCACTTCTAGTCTTCGACTCGGAGTAATCGATATCTTCATGTTTTATAACAAACTTTTATAAGTTGTTTAATTTAAAAAAGGTTTGAATTTGAAATTTTTGAATGATGATTCCTGTGGAAAATCCTGTTCCAAAAATTAGATCAAAAATAGAAATTGCGCAAATATTTATCTTCTTTTTCTAAAACAAAATAAATAATTTTGTTAAAAAAATTGTGATTCATAAACAAAAATAATATAAAATAAATCAATTTTCTATTTCTTAATCACAGTTGTTTAACAATTTTCTAATTTTGCTTCGAAGTAAAGAACAAAAATCTGCTTAATTTCAATTTGACAAAACATATTATTTAACAAAATTTTAATCTTTTAATGAAAAGAAGTGAAAAAAATTCTGATGATTTATATTTGTCATTACAGTTTTAAATTAATTATAAAATAAAAATAATTATAACATTAATTATTAACTATAATAATCGTCATATTCTGTCCAGTCTGTCCATTTTTTTACTATTTTTTAATTTAATAATATTATCTTTATTTTTCAAATAATTCAAAAATATTTTTATTAATCTAAAGAAATTATTAATGTTATTATTCATTATTTCTTTATTTCTAAAAAAAAATTAGCATTTTGTAACAAACGTTTTAGGTAATTAACAAATGTAAATCCTACAAAATTTTATCCTTTTTTTAATGTGAAAAACTTAATTGTTTGACAAATCGAAATTATGCAGCTATTTTTTCCTTTTTTCTAAAAAAAAATTAAAAAATTGTTGGAAAATTAAAATTAGAAAGTAGAAAATATTTTGCACATTTTCTGCTTCTCAATTACAATTCATAAACAAAGTACAAGTTTTAAGTAAAAAAAAAATGTTATAAATCGAATTTTGTTTAAGAAATTTTAAATTTATTTTGGAAAAAATATTTACAAAATTTCTATTTGTTAAAAACGATTATAAAATTATTCGAAAACATCAATAACTTCTTTTCTAAATAAATATTTAATCACTATTATTTTTCCACAAAAACTAAGATTTTCAAAAATTTCAAATTTAAACCTTTTTGAAATTTAACAAATTATAAGAATATTTATTATAAAACATGAACAAATTGATTACTTTTTTTTACTTTATTTTTTATAATAAATTAAAGATAACCGAGTGATAAGATCATTATTTTATATAATAGGAATATTTTTACTGTAATTTTTTCAAAATTATTTTCATCATTTTAATTCAATTATTATTTTCTAGAATTTTTAAATAAAATTCTTCTCTAAATCAATTATCTTTAATAATTTTTGAAAAAGTTCTTTAAGAATTTTCAAATCCATTTGTTTACAATTCAATTTTACGAAATTTCGATCATTCTGAAATTCTTCATATAATATACATATTAGAAACAAATTTTTAAATAATTTTAAAAAAATCAATTAAACTTTTTCAAAAACATTGATTCTACAGAATTATTGGTTATAAATATGAAAAATTAAGATTTTCAAAGAATTTAATTTGAAACCTTTTCAAAATTCAATTATATCTTAAAATTCATGGTATAATGCTTTTAATATTCAAATATTATTTGAATATTTGATAAATTTGAATAATATATATATTAAAATCTAAAAATTTAACTAGAATTAATTTTTAAATCAATTTTTATTAGAAAATTTCTACGAGAATTCAATTATTTAAATGCAAAAATAAATAATTTATTGAATAATTAAATATTTCTTAAAATTGAATTCTCATAAAGAATTTTATCAAAAATTAAATTTTGCCAAAATTTATTCTATTTATTTTAATTATAATAAATTAAATTAATTTTCAATAAAAATAACTCACCGATATCATAGGCTGCAATTGGTGTTCAAAATAGTTGTTGTAATGTTGATTTAATGCCAAAAAAAATATAAAGGCCGTGGCAATTCCAACCAAAATGTAAAAACTCCGTTTCCTGGACATGCTTTTTCCTAAAATGAATAAAAATACATTATATCACATAGAAAGATAAATGAGAAATTTTAAAAATGAGATAAGAAAAATAGAAAATTTTCAGATAATACGAAAACAGTATTTCTAAATACTTTTAATATTACTCCACTATCTCAAAATATTAACATTTAATTATAAAAGATTACTTTATATTTTTAATAAAACAAAACAATTTAAAAGTTATTGCATCGAGTAATAACCAAAAATCAATAAATTTTAATTTAAAAAGAAAAATGAAAAGAATGAAATGTACCTGTTCGAGTAAAACGAGCACGTTGCATCTTGTAAGGCGAAACATTCAAAATTTGACCCCTAAAATTATGAATTTTCTTCATGATTGACGAATTATATTTACAATTTTAAAAGTAACAAATCCAAAGTACGTATGAAAAGTATATAATGAATAGCTTCGTTGAATTTCTATTATCTAAATTACGTCTAGTTGAAGTAAATTAAAATTGTCATGCTGCAGTAAATATTTATAAAAGTTGTTAGATAAAAAACAGGAAATTAAAAACAATAAATAAAAAAATGTAACCTTTTAATATATTTTACCTTGTTATTCAGCCAATAGTCGTATTCGTTGAGCATCGAGATAATTTGATAAAATTTTCATATTAATTTTTTTATAAAGTGGAACTTTATTCAATATTTGAAAAGACAATCCCATTGTGTTTAAAACAAACGAAATTCCCAGCAGTTAATAAAGAAATTTGATATGATCATTGAATTTCGTTTTTCGTGTTGTGTGCATATAGGACTTGACATTTAATTTTCATGTATGACTTTTAAAAACTAATGACTAACACCAAAGATAATTTGGCCTATTGATATATTTTCTGATTTAGTGATAAATAATTATGAACAATCTTGAAAAAGTCTGTCTCAAATTACTGTCTACATGTTGTTTTTCACTACTAGTATACTAAAAATGTCAATTTTTTCAGCAGACGACATTTTCTAACAATCTGTCACCTGAGATTTTTAGGTTAGGTTAGGAGATTTCTCATTGGTTCAATTATTGTCCAATCAGTGCTTATTAATTCTTTTTTTCCCCTTTATATTTAAATCCTGTTTAAGAAATTACCGAAATTACAAAAGAAACTAAAAACATGGAAACGTTTTCTATTAATTTTTTGCAAAAATAACTAAAATATAAAAAATGAATTTAAACAATTTAAACGTTTAGAATTTTAATTTTTCAAACTCCCGCCGATTTGTAAAAGTTCATCTAGTGGTGAAATTTGACACTTTTTCATATTGACTGTCAGTTGTCACACGTGTGACAATTACATCAAATTTCTCTCAATTTATGACAATTTTATTAAAAAAATAACTCAATATAGACTTCTTTAGTTAATAACTTTTTCTAATGTTGCCAAAGATTTAAAAATTAGTGCGAAAATAGTCTATTATTTCAATCTGAGTGAACCATCAAGTGGGACCAGTTCTATCAACGGAAATCTAATTAATTTAGTAACAATTAAACAATTCAGTTATTGTTGATAAAAAAAATTTCACATTTTTGCTCAAAATGTACAAAAAATGTATCGGATTTGCCGGGAGTCTTTAGAAAGAGACAATATTTTAATATTGTCACTGATAATCAATAATGTAAATATTGTTATTTATAACGTTTAACGCAAAGTAAAGGATAGATTTTTAATTACGAATATAGTGTACGGTATTAGCTTACTTCGTTTACTTACACGTTTTCCACTGTCGAAAATTTTCTTCCAAAAATCCCGAGAGTGTGAAATCATGAATTCGCATTTTTAGGTTAGGATAATATATAATATTTGTCATGGCTCAATCCTCGGCAAGTGGAACATCCTCGAGACGACTCATAAGAGATAATGATGTCTGTCCTTCTGGAACAACCCGGTTCACTGACAGTGATTGGGAAACAAAAGAGGTCATTTTTTACCTATTCTATTTAGAAGAAATTAACCAAAGTTTTATTTAGTCTTATATTTTATTAATATAATAGTAATTTATTTTTATAAAGGCAAAGACTTTTTAAAATTTGCATATTACAGGCTTCACACTCAATAATTAATTTTAAAAAAGTATCAAAAAGTAGCTTTAATACTGAAAAAAGTACCTAGCTATTGAAAATTAATTTTAACGAATAAAAAGAAAATTGTTTTAGTCGATTCACAAAAATTTGATTCAGTATTTCCCTGACTGTTTCCTGATTTCAATAAAAAATAATTATTTTTATTCTAATCCTGCTGAGAATTTTAATTCTAAATTTTTGAAGAATTACAGGAAGAATTCAAGAATTTATCAATTTTTCAAAAAATAATTGAATTTCTGAGACGAATTTTATTATTTATGAAAATAATTGAATTCTTGCCAAGAATTATGTTTAATTATTTTTAAGTAATTGAATTCTTGAGAAGCATTTTATTATTTGGGAAAATAATTGAATAATAAATTGTGAAGAATTAAAGAAAGAATTTACAATCAATTTTTTAAAATATAATTGAATTTCTGAGAAGAATTTTATTATTTATGAAAACAATTGAATTCTTGCAAAGAATTTTATTGAATTTTTTTTAATGATTGAATTCTCGTGAAAGATTTTATTATTTGGGAAAATAATAGAATAATATAATTGTAAAGAATTAAAGAAAGAATTAAAGAATTTATCAATTTTTTAAAAAATAATTAAATTTCTGAGACGAATTTTATTATTTATGAAAATAATTGAATTTCTGAGACGAATTTTAAGTAATTGAATTCTTGAGATGCATTTTATTATTTGGAAAAATAATTGAGAAGAATTTTATTATTTATGAAAACAGTTGAATTCTTGCGAAGAATTTTATTGAATTTTTTTTAAATGATTGAATTCTCGTGAATAATTTTATTATTTGGGAAAATAATTGAATAATTGTGAAGAATTAAAGAAAAAATTTATCAATTTTTTAAAATATAATTCAAATTCTGAGACGAATTTCATTATTTATGAAAATAATTGAATTCTTGCGAAGAATTATATTTAATTCTTTTTAAATAATTGAATTCTCGTGGAAATTTATTATTTGGGAAAATAATTGAATAATATAATATTGTAAAGAATTAAAGAAAGAATTCAAGAATTTATCAATTTTTTAAAAAATAATTGAATTTCTGAGAAGAATTTTATTATTTATGAAAACAACTTGAATTCTTGCGAAGAATTTTATTGAATTTTTTTAAATGGTTAAATTCTCGTGAATAATTTTATTATTTGGGAAAATAATTGAATAATTGTGAAGAATTAATGAAAGAATTTATCAATTTTTAAAAATATAATTCAATTTCTGAGACGAATTTTATTATTTATGAAAATAATTGAATTCTTGCGAAGAATTATATTTAATTCTTTTTAAATAATGGAATTCTTTTTGGGAAATTTTATTAAAATAGTAGATATTGAAAATTATGAAATTAGAAAATTTTTTGAAAATAATTGAAATTAGGACAAGAATTTTTTTGACATGTATGAAAATAATTGAACTTTGGAGAAGAATTGAATTTTATAAAAAATTTTAAAAGTAGGTAATTGAATTCTTGAGAAGCATTTTATTATTTATGCGAAAATAATTGTATTCCTGCCTTGAATTTTATTTAAGTTTTTATAAGTAATTGAATTTTCGTGAAAATTATTGCTTGTGAAAAGAATTGAATTCTTGTGGTAGAATTTTATAAAAAGTTTTTAAATTGATTTTTTTCGAAAAATTTTATGAAATATTTTAAAGAATTCAATTCATATGAAAATAAAAATAAAAATATTTGCGAAAAATTTTATCAAAAATCTTTTGTGCAATTTTACTAAAATTGTATAGATATTAAAAATCATTGATTTTCGAAAAGTTTTTGAGAATAATTGAATCGTTTTAAAGAATTTTATTAGAATTTTTAGAATTTGTTTTTTATTTCAATTATTAGCGAATTTAAAGTGATGCAAATTTCCCCCAAAAATAAAGAAAAAAGTAGCTTTTAGTGTCATAGATCTAAAAAAAAAGTAGTAAATTTTAAATTCAACTAATTAACAGGCCTTGCGGCAGAGAGAATTGGAAGAGGCGCGAGCGAGAGCCGCTCAAATGGAAAAAACAATGCGCTGGTGGTCGGATTGCACAGCAAATTGGCGAGAGAAGTGGAGTAAAGTTCGTAATGAACGAAATAAATCACGTGAGGAGGCAAAAGTTCTTCGGACAAAATTAGAAATTGCAATAAAAGATGCAAATACCTACAAGCACGAGGCACAGGACGTGGAATTACAGAACGAGCAATTAAAAAAGGAAATGGATAAAATACACATGATATTATTGAAGCACGCCGGTAAATTCGATCAACAAATTGTTTCAATTTTAGAATCAGATCCACAATTAAGAAACGCATTAGATATCGATGAATTACTAGAAGTCTACAATAACGTTGAACAAAGTGATAATTCAACATCCATTGAAAATAAGGAATATATCATTAAAAGTCCAACGATAGATTCAGAATCAAATAATGCTGAGAATCACAATTCGTCGTCGGATCGTGACATTGAGGAGTATGTCCTACAGGGTGCCGTTCCAAAACACGCTGTTGAATTATACAAGGAGAGTTCAATGGTCTCGTTGGACAGAGATATTGCTAAATTAGTAGCCGAAGCTTCCACGCAAAATGAGAAATTAAATAAACGACAGTCATCATTGGAAATACGAAATGAGGAGTATCTTTTGCAAAAAATGTCAATGCTTCAATTGCGATTAGAGGAGGCTACAAAGACTATTGCCGCTGAAAGAGAGTAAATATGTTTTCTCATTTCTTTTCTTCCTTCAAAAATAATGAAAGAAATTAAAAATTTTTCGATTATTAGTCTAATAAAATGTGAAAATTCCCACAGAGAAAAGTCATCTCTACATCGTGGTGTGGAAAAATTAAAATCCGAAGTTGCAGCTTTACGGGAATTACAGGACAGTAGAACTGAAGCAATTAAGGAGCTTTTGGAGTTAAAAGAAAAATTCCAAGGTGAACTTAATGCGGCACAAGCTGATTTAATAGACGAGGCTTCGAATCGAGAAGGCATGGATCGACGCCTCGCAGAACTTCGAACTGAGGTATATTTATTCTGACAAAAAGAAAATATTTATTATATGTTAAGATTTATTAATACGTAATAATTTAATTATTACTTTTGTATAATAAATAATAATAATCTTCATTAATAATCGTTGTATTCCGTTAATCTGTTCGCAGTTTGAAATTTTTGAATATCATAATAAAAATTCTTTTAAAGAATTTCTTTGAATTTTTTAAAAATAATATGGAGTTTCTTTAATAATTTTTATTAAAAATTTTGAAAGTAATTGAATTCTATGAAGAATTTCTTTCGAATTTTTAAAATAATCGTGTTTGTCAATAATTGGAAATGAACAATAATTGTTTATTGAATTTTATGAAGATTTTTAGAAAATAATTAAATGATTCTGAGAATTTTATTACAGTTTCTTAAAATAATTCATTTCATTCAGAGCAGTTAAAAAACATGAGTTTTTTTAAAATCAAAAACATCCAATTTTTTATTTAAATCGGATTTTTTTATTTAAATCAAATTTTTTCTGGAGCTTGATTTTTTAGTAATGATAATAAAACATTAATTTTACAATAGACGTAACAAAGAATAGCTACTTTTATTTTTCTTAAGAAACTATTTAATCCAAAATGTTAAAAAAAAATTATTATATATTATACCTTCTGTTGAATTAAGTCTTTATATTATTTTAATAAGATATATGTATTGGTTTTCTTACAAGTTTTTTATTTTTTGAATTTAAAACTTTAATGAGTACTAGTAACATAAAGAATTTATCTTCCGACAATTTAAACAATTAAAACTTACTTTTGAATAAAAATGTTTTGTCAATAAGAAATATTTGTTAAATATTAGGCTACGTTCCTTAAATCGTTTTTTATTTCATTTTCTCAACGTAAACGTTGGTAACTTAAGTCAAAGCTGATTAAAAAACCTATTTTTAAGTAAAAATTTAATTTAAATTACTGTAAATATGTCTTTGATTTAAATTATAACAGCCCTGAATTCATTCAAGGAATTTTTTTAAAATATTCAAAATAATTGAATTCATTCGAATAATACTATTAAAATAATTACATTTTTTCAAAAAATTTCTTCAATTTTTTGAAAATAATCGATTTTGTTAATAATTGTAATTAACAATTTTACTATTAAATTTTATCAAAATTATTGATAGAAAATAAAATTCTTTTTAACAATTTTATTAGAGTTTTTGTAAATAATTCAATTCTTTTGAAGAATTTCTTTAAGTTTTTTGAAAATAATGTAGCTTTTTAATAATTTTTATTGAAAAAATTTAAAATAATTGAATTAAACATTGAATTAATTATTAATTAAAGAATTTTTATCAATTTTTTAAAATACTTAATTGTGTCTGTTAATAATTATAATTAGAAACTTGATTATTGAGTTTTATTAAAATTTTATTGAAAATAATTGAATTCCTAAGAAGAATTATATTATTTATAAAAATGATTGAATTGTTTCCAAGAATTTATTAAAATATTAAAATATAATTGAATTCTTTCGTGAAATTTTATTAAAATGGTATTGAAAATAATTGAATATCTAAGAATTATTTTATTATTTATAAAAATAATTGAATTGTTTCGAACAATTTTACTAAAATTTTAAATAATAATTGAATTCTTTCGTGAAATTTTATTAAAATTGTAGTAAAAAAAATTGAATTTTTGCAAAGAATTTGACTATTTTTAAAAAATAATCTAATTCTTCCGAAGAATGCATAATAAATTACTGATTGCAATAAAAAATTAAAAACCTAAATTCTACATTTGAAAAGTTTGAATATTAATTTTTTTTTATATAATTATAGTGACAAAAAATTATTTTAATAAAAATTGAATTTTTTCAGCTGGAGAAATTGCAAGTGGAAAATGCGGCTGAATGGGGAAAACGAGAACGTTTGGAAACAGAGAAAATCTGTTTAGAGCGAGAAAATAAACAATTGCGAGGTGAATTACGCGATTTACAGGAAAAAGTTGATTCAAGAAGAACACGACCCGTTTCAACGTCTGATGCAGACGGAAGAATTTTACAACAAGAACTCTTAGACAGGAACAAGGTAACATCTCAGTTTGTTCAAACCCTATTTTTAAAACTGATTCATTTTTAAAGAAATTTTTTTAAAAATAAATAAAATAACAATAGAAGAAAAATTAAAAAGGTAAATAAAATAGATAAAAAAAATAATAAAATAGCAAAATCTATATTAATAATCGTTGTATTCTGTTCGCAGTTGGAAGTAAGTTTTTGATTGCTTTTTTGTTTCCTAAATTTTTAAAAAAAAATTTCTTTTTAAATTATTCCAATTTTAAAATTAATGTAGGTATTAAAAATCATTGAATTCTTGGAAAGAATATTATCAAAAAATTAAAAGAGAATAATTGAATTCCTTGGGAGAATTTTTTTATTTGTAAAAATAATTGAATTCTCGCAAAGAATTTTATTGAAATTTTTAAAAATCATAATTAAATTCTTTTGAAGAATTTCTTTGAATTTTTTGAAAATAATGGAGTTTCTTTAATAATTTTAATTGAACATTTTGAAAGCAATTGAATTTTATGAAGAAGAATTTTATTAAAATTCTATTGAAAATAATTGAATTCTTGCAAAGGATTTTACTATTTACAAAAATAATTGAAATATTTCGAAGAATTTATTAAAATTTTAAGATATAATTAAATTGTTATGAAGAATTTTATAGAAATATTTGAAAATAATGCCATTTTTTCTAGAAATTCAATTAAACTTGTTTCGAAATTAATTGAATTTCTTAAAAGAATTTCAAAATAATTGAATTAATTTTTTGAGAATTTTAAATTTTTGATGAAATTGAATTTTATAGAAATTTTTGAAAATAATTGAATTCCTTCATGTAATTTTATTTAAATTGGATTAAAAATAATTTAATTCCTGCAAAGAATTTTAGTATTTACAAAAATAGTTAAATTGTTTCGAAGAATTTATTAAAATTTTAGGAAATAATTCAAATTTATGGAAATATTATTTAAAAATAGTTGAATTCATCCCAAGAATTCAATTAAAATTGTTTTGAAAATAATTTAATTCTTGCAAAGAATTTTACTATTTATAAAAATAACTTTGTTCTGAAGAATTTATTAAAATTTTAGGAAATAAATGAATTCTTTCCAAAAACTTTATTAAAAGTTGGAAAAAATTTAATTGAATTATTTCGTGAAATTTTATTAAAATTGTATTGAAAATAATTGAATTCTTTCAATTCTTCTGGCAAATATATTTAAAAATTGTATTGAAAGTAACTTAATTTTCATATAGAACTTTAAAAAATATTTTGAGAATAATATTGAATTGTTTTTAGAAAATTTTAAATTCTTGTTGAAAGTGAATTTTATGTACAATTTTTGAAAATAATTAAATTCTTTTGTGTTACTTTATTTAAATTGGATTAAAAATAATTTCATTCCTGCAAAGAATTTTAATATTTATAAAAATAACTCATTTGTTCTGAAGAATTTTACTATTTACAAAAATAATTGAATTGTTTCGAAGGATTTATTAAGATTTTAGACAATAATTGTATTTATTCGAAATGTATTAAACATTTTTAAAAAAAATTGAATTCTACAGAAAAATTTAATTAAAATTGTTTAGAAAATAATTTAATTTGTGCAAAGATTTTACCATTTATAAAAATAATTGAATTATTTCGAAGGATTTATTAAAATTGTAGAAAATAATTTAATTCTTTTGGAAAATTTTATAACAAATTAAGAAAAAAATTTAATTCTCTCGCAAAATTTTATTGAAAATAATTGATTTCCTGCAAAGAATTTTACTATTTATAAAAATAATTGAATTGTTTAGAAGAATTTATTAAAATTTTAGGAAATAATTGATTTCTTCTGTAAAATTTTATTAAAATTTTGTTAAAAATAATTGAATTCTTCCGAAGAATATAATTACTTATATAAAAATAATTTAATTCTTGCGAAGAATTATATTAAAATTTTTGAAAATATAAAACAATAATAATTAATTTTGTAGGTACTTAATAAGTGAATTTTTCAAATTTTGATTATGAAATCATTTATAAATTTATATTTGAAAATAAAAATTGAATATCACGTTCCGCGCGTTAGCGTGCGTAACATTTGCTAGTTAAATGTAAATAATGTTGATTTAAATTGTATTTAATTATTTTAATTATTATTATTATTATATTTAATAAATGATAAATCTTACCTTTTGTTTCAGGAGTTAGTTGAATTGAAACATGGCTATTCGAAGATGAAAAAAATGTTTGGAGACAAAACCATGGAGCTATCGCATGCAATTAGAAGATCAGAGCAATATGAAGCGGAAGTGAAAAGAGTTCGTTCGCGAGTCGAGGAATTAAAGAAGGAATTGGCTTCAGCTCAGGATGACATGGATGTGGCGACAAATAGCGTTCGAAAGTTACAAAGAACAAATGAATGTCTCGTAGAGCAACTTGAAGCATCCAACATGCAACTGGAACATTTTAAAAACAGGTGAGATAAATAAGTGCTTTCCAGAAAAAAAGAAAAATTCATTCTTACCTGTCGCAATTTTTCTCAATTTTCCCTCCACCAATTTAATTATATTTTACACTAAATAAAAGATTCCCAGCAATTATTTTTACAAATAAATTTTTCTTTAAATAAATCTAAAATATTTCTTTAAACGTATATCTGTAATTACTAGAAACTAATTATTAAGTTAACTATTCTAATATTTATTATATTTATTATTATAAATTTTATCAACAGAGTAACCACAGTGAATAATACCGAAAACTGTGTTGCACCTGACATTGTAACTGAGATAAAGGACGAAAAAATACGCGAAGAAGAAAATGAAGAGTCAAGAGAAACTTCACCAGTTTGGCGAGATATTTAGAGAGAGAAAAAGTAAATATTTGAAAATAGTACCTGGACTATTATTCTTCGAATCAAATAGTAAAGAGAAAAGTTAAAAGTTTTGAGAGTAAGGCAAACGTAAAAAAGACACTCCTTACTATTTAAAAAAAAATACAGTTTCGCAATTACAAGACTGTAAAAAATTAAATGAAAAATTGTATATACATAAATAGGAAGTAGAAAATAGTCCGTTAAAATTTATAGGTGTCGTTTTAGACATTTCTCGGAGATTATTGAAAGAAAAAAAGAATTTCTAAAAAGAATAATTAAAAAAATGACTGAAAAAACAAAAAATCGTGTGTCAAATGTTATCAACATTGTCGACGATCGTAAAAATACTCCTGTTATATATTTTTTAAACAATTTTGTTACTTTTTGCAAGGCATAATTAATCATTTTTTTACATTCCTTTCTTGTGAATTAGCCTCGTTTTTATTTAATATTCGAATTAGTTTTTAATACTGCGACATATGCAAAAGATGTTTAATGATTTTTTTCTTCTTTTGCTACAATAACTTTATTCGCGAATAAAAAAAAATACTTTTGTATTTTTAACTGTAAATTCCTCTCGTCAATATAGTGCGTATATGTATTTTATATACGCAGTCACAAAGTACCTCGATTACACTCAAATGAGCAATGAACAATTCATTTTTTTTTAATTCTCTTTTTTGTTATTTTATTCACCAATTCGGTGTATATTATGAGAAAAAATAAATAAACCGTATATATTGAATCGTTTTCCATTCTATTTCGTATTTTTGAAATTCTTAAAACAAAAGTTACTTCACTTCCATTATTTTGTATTTTAAATAAAAAGAATTAAATTTTAACTTCGTTTTAATAGAAAGAAGAAAAACTTACTCCTCAGCAATTTGCATAATTAAAACACAGGGTTGCAACAAAAATTAAATTTTGTTTTTTCCTGACTCTAAAAAATATTCTAATTCACTCTAAAAATGATTAGATACTAAAAACTAAAGTTCTAATACTTTTATTTGCGAATTTCTTTAATTGTAAAATTATTCGATAACATTAATGACTTCTTTTTTAAATAAATATTTAATCTTTATTTTTCCATATGGCATAAGGTTTAAAAAAATTTTTAATTTCAAACCCTTTGAAATTTGATAATTTATAAAAAATTGCTACTGCAACTTCTTCGAAATTATTTTCGTGATTTCAATTCAATTTTCTCGAATTTTTGTCAAAAACTCTTCTATAAATCAAATAATTTTTAATAATTTTTGACGAAGTTCTTTGAGAATTCAATTATTCAAGGAATAAAGAAAGTTATCAATTTTGAATTAATAATAAATAATTAATTTTTAAATACACTTGTTTGCAATTTAATTTTATTAAATTTTAATTATTCGGAAATTCTTTAATTAAATATAATTATAGGTATTAAAAAATGGAAAATTCAAATAATTTAAAAAACATTTGAATTAAAATTTTCAAAAAAATTTATTTATACGGAATTGTTAATTAAAAGTATTAAAAATACAGGTTTCCAAAGATTTTCATTTAAAACCTTTTCAAAATTCAATTATTTCTAAAAATTACTTTTATTTGTAACTTCTCCGAAATTGAATCAAGGTTGCCAGAAAAATTTAATTTTGTTTTTCCCTAACTTTTCCCTGATTTACAGACAAAATTTTGACTTTTCCCCTGACCCTAAAGCATATTCTGATTCACTCTAAAAATGATTAGAAACTCAAAAACCTTAGAATATAAAAATATTGTTACTGTAACTCCTTCAAAATTATTTTCATCATTTCAATTCAATTATTATTTTCTACAATTTTTTTTTTTTTTTTTTTTTTTTTTTTTTTTTTTAAATAAAATTCTTTTTCAGGTCAATTTTTTAAAAATAATTTTTGAAAAAGTTTTGTTGAGAATTTTCAAATTTATTTGTTTACAATTCAATTTTACGAAATTACAATTTATCGGAAATTCTTCAATTAAAATATACATTTGAAAATAAAAACTTGAAATAATTTTAAAAAATTTCGATAAAGCTTTTTGAAACAAATTAGTTACAAAGAATTTTTAATTAAATGTATGAAAAATTCAAATTTTCCAAGATTTTAATTTGAAACTTTTACAAAATTCAATTATTTCTAAAAATTGCAATTATTAGTCACTTCTCCGAAAATTCAATTATTATCTAAAACTTTTACTGAAATTAATTTTTAAATCAATTTTTATTAAAAAATTCTACGAGAATTCAATTATTTAAATAAAAACAGATAATTCATTAAATAATTGAATATTTCTTAAAATTAAAATCTTATACATATAATTTTATCAACAAATTTTTAAAAAATTGAATTCTTTCGACGAATTTTAATAACATTTTAAAAAATAATTACATTTTTCGAGGAATTCGATTAAAATTTTATTAAAAAGTAATTGAAATTCTATCAAAATTGCTTTTAAATAATTGAATTCTTTTGGGAAATTTTATTCAAATAATAGATATACAAATTATTGAATTAAAAAAATTTTTTGAAAATAATTGTTGCAATGAATTTTATTAAAATTTTTGAAAATAATTGAATTTTATTACTTTTGAAAATAATTGAATTCTTGTGATGAATATTGTTATTTATAATAAATAAATCCCTGAAAAGAAAAAGTTTTTGAAATTGATTGAATTTTGCAATGAATTTTATAAAAATTCCTAAAAATAATTGAATTTTGGCGAATAATTTTGCTATTCATTTATAAAGATAATTTAAATGTTGAAGACAATTTTTTATGATTTTTTGAAAGTAATTGAATTTCTGCGAAGAATTTGATTAATTTTGAAAATAATTGAATTCTTGTGATGAATATTGTTATTTATGAAAATAATTTAATTTTATAATGAATTTGATCAAAATTCCTGAATAAAATTGAAGTTTGTCGAAGAATTTTGATATTTATAAAGATAATTGAAATGCTGAGGAGAACTTTTTTAAAATTTTTGAAAATTGATTGCGTTAAAATAAATTATTGTCGAATATAGAAGAAATTTAATGTTTTTTAGAATTCGTGGTAATTTCATAATTTATGAGTCAGACGCAAAAATTGAGAATATTGTTATAAATTCTAAACATTCAATTTTTTCCAGTACTTTTAATAAAATTCCCTGACTTCCCTGACCTGTGGCAACCCTGAGAATTATTTTTTATTGTGTTTAACTAAAATTTTTCTTTAAATCAATTCTTTTTAATAATAGGTATACAAAGAATTTCTTTTCTTAATAAATTAGTTTTAATAATTAAATATATTTAAAAATTCAACTAATTTCAAGAGAAATTAAATTAAAATTTTTCAAAAAACTAAGATCAACAAAATTTCTAATGAAATTCATTCAAAATTCAATTTTTTAAAAATTTCAAATTGAAACCTTTTGAAATTCAATTATTTATAAAAAAATTGTATATGCAACTCTCATAAAATTCAATTATTTTTGAAATTTTTATATAAAATTATTCATTAAATAATGAACCAACACCTTGACGGAAAACCAAAAAGACGGATAGTCGAAGGTACCAGAATTTATGATCTTCATAACCAATATTTGTCCATATTTTGGACTTCTACATGTAAACAAACAATTTTATAAAAAAAACTACCTAATTACTTAAAAAATTTTATTAAAAAACGTAATATCGTATATTTCCTTCTTTAAAAATTAATTTTTTACCAAAAAGTCTGTGATTTTTGTTATTTTTCTTTGCTTCATAGTCGTTTGTACAATTTGCATCGTTTTGATGCACATACTAATCAATAAATTTTTGAATGTTATTTTATAAAAATAAAAAAAAATTCAACTTGTCAGAAATAAATTGTCTTTTTATTTAAAATACAAAATAATGGAAGTGGAGTAACTTTTGTTCCGGTTGTTTTTCAGATTCTCCCTTAACCCAAATGATTTTAAAAAATATTTTTCTAAGATTTAAATTGTTCTGAACTTTAAAAATTGTCATGCGCCATAATTTTCGAAATTACACTGTTTTCTTTTTTTATAGAAAAAATTTTATTCTAAAATCTATAAGTACATGAGCTTACTCAACATGATGTTAAACTTTAAAGCCATAATAATAAATTGTAATTTTTTTACAATTCATCATAGATTAGTATTTTTTTTCTTCAGTAAAATAGTCATGAAAAAAATGATAAATTCAAATTATATGATTATTTTCATTAACATTTAATTGGCGTTCCGTCTGGATTTGTTGGAATTTTTGGTTTGCAGATTTTCGTCCTTCCATTCGAGCCATAAACGACATTACAAGAGAATGTAAAGTAACCACATGTAGAACTCTTCGTATAATATCGATGTTCGTATTTTTTTACTGGTTCTTTTCCATCGTCCATTTTTCCTGCTATACTATTTGACACGGAGTAATAATTTGTCTTGGCACTGCTATTCGATGACTGTTGACTTGAACTCTCCAAATCGTGAGTTTGATTTTTAGCACTGATCTTTTGTTCGTAATCAGTTTTCAATGAACTAGTCTCTGAGAATTCGGTTTTATTTTCCTGCTTCAAAGTTTTATCGAATTTATCTTCAGTTTTTGAACTACGATAACTAGGGGACATTGTATAACCAGGCAGTGCTTCATCTTGGAAAGTGTCACGAATCATTGCCGATTCTTTCAAGGACTTTTGGGAAATATCATCGGAATTGCTTCTTCCTGTATAATTAAACTCTTCGTCTTCGTAGTCCTCGTAATCGTCATCATTATCATCGTTATCATAATTCTTTTCCGTCTTGTGTGACTTCTTTTCCGCTTTATTGCTCATCGACTTCGACAGAGTGGCGACGACAGTTTTCCTCGAACTCGAACTTGTCTGTAGACCTTGTCGATCATCTAGATCGTAATCATTCTCCGGCGGTGGAGGTGTGTTGTCAGTTCTATCGTCACTTATTGCCGGCGGAACATAGGGTTTGGTTTTCTTAAAGAAATCCGAATTCGAATCGGAGAAGTTGAAGGGTTTCCTGGCGGCTGCTGCTCCGGATCCTGATCCAGCTTGAGCTGCTCCCGTGTACGTGATTCCGTATTTGAAGGAGCCTTCGATTTGTGATTGAGATTGTCCACGGTAAGTGCCACTTTGGGCTGAGGCTGTGCCACCGCCTCTGAAGGGTTTCGAATTTTTCTCTGGCTTCTCGTCAGTCTTCATGTAGGGCTGAAAACCGATTTGAGCCTGACTGAAGGTTTGACCTTCGCCATTCGCTTGGGCGTCTGCCATTCCACCCTTGGAACTGGCTTGGACTTGAGAATTCGTACCGTGATTCCATCCACCGCTTTGGGCGTTCGTTGACGTTGCTCCGGAATCGGAATTCAATTGAACTTGCACTTGGCTTTTGCCAAGACCACCGGATCCTTGGGCACTGCTGACTGCGCCTTCTTTACCACCGCTCACTTGCGTTTGAGCGCTCTTATTCGCGTCCTGAGTGCCAGCTTGCGCGGAAAATGACCCACCACCAGTATATGTTCCACTTACTTGCGACTGAGCAGAGCCTGTGCCATATTTACCCTGGGCTGATGCACTCGCGTGCGTTCCACTCTCGCTCTGCTTCACTGAACTGAGTGCGTGTGAATCTGATCCATCATCAACTGGATATCCCTCAGGTTGATAAACTTGTCCTCCAGGTACAACGCCACCCGGATAAGTAGTGCCCGGTCTTCCAGGAATTACTGAAAAATTTTTTCAAATTGAATTTCGAATATTAAAACATGTATTTCCGAGTAATTTTTTCATTTTAATACCTGTGCCTCCTGGTACAACTCCTCCAGGATATCCAGGGGTACCTCCCGGCACAACTCCTCCAGGATATCCAGGAGTACCTCCCGGCACAACTCCTCCAGGATATCCAGGAGTACCTCCTGGTACAACTCCTCCAGGATATCCAGGAGTACCTCCCGGCACAATTCCTCCAGGATATCCAGGGGTACCACCTGGCACAACGCCCCCTGGATATCCAGTTGTTCCGCCGGGAACACCTCCCGGTTGAGTTCCAGGACCACCTAGAGTATTAAAATTTTAAATAATTCCATTTAATTGATTATTAAAAAGGGTAAAGTAAAAGTTGAACATACCACCCGTTGGGTAGCCACGAGGATAAGTTCCTGGTACACCTCCAGGATATGTGCCAGGAACAGCGCCACCTGGATAAGTTCCAGGAACCATTGAACCTGGAATAGTTCCTCCTGGATAAACTTGACCCGTTCCTGGAATTCCACCAGGTTGAACGCCACCAGGATATTGAACGCTTGTACCAGTTCCAGGAACCCCTCCTAAAAGAAATTCAAAATATTGAATATTGGAATTGTTTATATATTATAAATACATATATTGAAAATATATATTTGTTTTCTGTATATTTACAATATAATCAAATATAACATAATATATTTAAAACATTATAAAATTGAAAATAATAAATTTACAATATAAGTATGTAATATTACCTAATATTATATTTTTAAAAATAAATAAATATAACTGACACAGGACTCCAACTAGTGAAAGTATTTAAAAATACGGACTTTACGGACCAAAAATGAAAAATTACGGACCATTTACTGACAAAAATATAACAAGTCCGAGTCAAATAAGAAAACATGAAGATATCGATAACTCCGAGTCGAAGGCTCGGAGTGATCGATTTCTTCATGTTTTCCAATAATTAAATATGACCGAGAGATAAAATCATTATTTTATATTATAAGAATATAGTTACAATAACTTCATCAAAATTATTTTCATCATTTTAATTCAATTATTATTTTCAAGAATTTTTAAATAAAATTATTCTTTAAATCAATTAATTTTCGCAGAAGTTCTCTGATAATTTTCAAATCCATTTGTTTACAATATTCAATTTTACAAATTTTAATTATTTGTAAATTCTCCAATTAAATATACCTATATTAGAAAATATAAATTTTAAATAATATAAAAAAATTCAATTAATCTTTTTCAAAAAAATTCATTTCAAAATTTAATTATTTCTAAAAATTCACGCTATATTGCTTTTAATATTCAATTATTATCTAAAATTTTAATTGAACTTCATTTTTAAATCAATTTTTATAAGAAAATTCTATTAGAATTCAATTATTTAAATACAAAAATAAATAGAATATTGAATAATACCTAGAATGTTTCTTAAAATTCAATTCTCATAAAAAATTTTATCAACAAAATTTTTAAATAATTAAATTCTTCCTACGATTTTTAATAAAAATTTTAAGAATAATTACATTTTTCGAGAAATTCGATTAAAATTGTTTTAAAAATAATTGAAATTCTGCGATGAGTTTTATGATTTATGAAAATACACAATTGAATTCTTAAGAAGAATTTATTTTATTATTTTTGAACATATTATTAAATTTCTGCGAAGGATTTTATTACTCTTGAAATTCTATTGAATTTCTGCAATAATTTGTAACTTCTCCACAGAATTTTATTAAAATTTTTGAAAATAATTGAAATTCGGAGAAGAATTTTATTATTTCTAAAGATAACATAAAAGAAAAAATTTAAAGCAGTAAAGAACAATTGAATTGATAATTAATTAGGTAACAAATTTACCTGGAATCGAACCACCCGGATAAGTTCCTGGAACAACACCGCCGGGATATGAAGGACCTCCAGGACCAGTTTGTCCAGGATAAATGCCTGGCGATCTGCCTGGAATAACGCCCCCTGGATGTGTGCCAACTCCGGTTCCTGGCACTCCTCCCGGACCAGTAATTCCACCTGGCTGATAAGTTCCCGGATAAGTCCCGCCTGGTACCGTTTGTCCAGGTGGACAAATATTATTGACACAACCTGGCATTCCACCTGGATAGGTCACTCCTGTTCCTGGAATTGTCTGTCCAGGTACTGCGCCACCAGGATAAGCACCACCGGGGTAAGAAACTCCCGTTCCAGGGATAGTTTGACCAGGCGGTACTCCGCCAGGATAAGAAACACCAGTGCCTGGAACTGTTTGACCAGGTACTGCTCCACCTGGATAAGAAACTCCGCCTGTTCCCGGAATTGTGTGGCCAGGTACTGTTCCACCTGGATAAGATGCTCCAGTGCCGGGAATTGTCTGTCCAGGTACTGCTCCACCTGGATAAGATACTCCTCCTGTTCCAGGGATTGTTTGTCCAGGTGTCACTCCACCAGGGTAAGAAACTCCTCCCGTTCCCGGAATCATTTGACCAGGTGGTACTCCACCAGGATATGAAACACCAGTTCCTGGAACTGTTTGTCCAGGTGGTACTCCACCAGGATAAGATACTCCTCCCGTTCCTGGAATCATTTGCCCAGGCATTGTTCCTCCAGGATATGATACACCTTCTGTTCCAGGAATCGTTTGACCAGGCGGCACTCCACCAGGATAGCTAACCCCTGTTCCTGGAATAGTTTGTCCCGGTATTGCTCCACCAGGATATGTTCCTCCAACACCAGTTTGACCAGGATAAGTTCCAGGAATCGTCGTACGACCTGGAACAACACCTCCAGGATATCCTTGTCCGGTAGGTCCAGTTTGTCCTGGTATGGCACCACCAGGATATGTTCCTCCAACTCCAGTTTGTCCAGGATACATTCCAGGTCGTCCTGGAACACTACCACCCGGATATGAAACTCCTGTTCCCGGAATCGTCTGGCCGGGTGGTACTCCACCAGGATATGATACACCAGTTCCCGGAATTGTTTGACCGGGTACTGCTCCACCAGGGTAAGAAACACCAGTACCCGGAATTGTTTGACCAGGTGGTACTCCCCCAGGATATGATACACCAGTTCCCGGAATTGTTTGCCCAGGAACTGCTCCACCCGGATAAGAAACTCCTGTACCCGGAATCGTCTGGCCGGGTGGTACTCCACCAGGATATGATACACCAGTTCCCGGAATTGTTTGCCCAGGAACTGCTCCACCCGGATAAGAAACTCCTGTACCCGGAATCGTTTGGTCAGGTGGTACTCCACCGGGATACGAAACACCAGTACCTGGAATTGTTTGCCCAGGAACTGCTCCACCCGGATAAGAAACTCCTGTACCCGGAATCGTTTGGCCAGGTGGTACTCCACCGGGATACGAAACACCAGTACCTGGAATTGTTTGCCCAGGTACTGCTCCACCTGGATACGTTCCACCTGGAATAACACCACCGGGATAAGTCACCCCTGTTCCTGGTACTCCTCTAGTTGGTTCGGTCTGTCCTCCTGGATAGGTTCCTGGGAAAGTTCCTGTTTGACCTGGCACTGCGCCGCCGGGATATTGAACTCCACCTGTTGGTCCCGTTTGTCCTCCGGGATACGTTCCTCCAGGTCGTGCTCCAGGTACAGACCCACCAGGATAGGTAACCCCTCCAGGTCCCGTTTGTCCTCCTGGATACGTTCCTCCAGGTCGTGCACCAGGTACAGTCCCACCAGGATAGGTAACCCCTCCAGGTCCCGTTTGTCCTCCTGGATACGTTCCTCCAGGTCGTGCACCAGGTACAGCCCCACCTGGATAAGTGACCCCTCCAGGTCCTGGTACCCCACCTGTTGGTCCAGTAGTTCCTCCAGGATACGTTCCACCAGGCATTTGTCCCGGATAAGTTCCCGGTCGCCCTGGAATCATTCCGCCGGGATATTGAACTCCCCCTGTCGGTCCCGTTTGTCCTCCAGGATATGTTCCTCCAGGTCGAGCACCAGGTATAGCCCCACCAGGATAGGTAACCCCTCCAGGTCCCGTTTGTCCTCCTGGATACGTTCCTCCAGGTCGAGCACCAGGTATAGCCCCACCAGGATAGGTAACCCCTCCAGGTCCCGTTTGTCCTCCTGGATACGTTCCTCCAGGTCGTGCACCAGGTACAGCCCCACCTGGATAAGTGGCCCCTCCAGGTCCTGGTACCCCACCTGTTGGTCCAGTAGTTCCTCCAGGATACGTTCCACCAGGAATTTGTCCGGGATAGGTTCCCGGTCGTCCTGGTATCATACCACCAGGATAAGTAACACCCCCAGTTCCTGGTCCTCTTCCTGTTATTCCTGTTTGACCTCCTGGAATCATTCCACCAGGATAAGTTCCAGGACCTGCGCCTGGAATCATTTGACCAGGAACACCTCCTGGCATTCCTCCAGGAATAACACCACCCGGATAAGAAACTCCCGTTTGTCCCGGAACTGTTCCTGGAATTGTAGCACCAGGATACGAAACTCCCGTTTGTCCCGGAACAGTTCCTGGAATTGAACCACCAGGATAAGTAAGTCCTTCTCCAGGTCGCAATTGACCTGGAATTCTCCCACCGGGATAAGTTTCAGAACCCGGTGGGTATGGTGGCATTAAAATTCCAGGACCCCCAGGCTTATGAACACCACCGTGATAAACCCCTCCAGGACCAGTGACTCCCCCCGCGGGTCCTGTAGGAAATCCAGGGCACCCTTCGCATCCAGTCCCTCCGGATGACATACTTTGCGCCTGACCCATCCCATTGCTACCGCCTAAAGGAATAATAAATTTTTTTTTTCTAAAATTCCTTTACACTTACTTCAAATTAATTTATTTTTTATTTAAAAAAGATTAGGTATCAATCAATTTTCTTTTTGTTCTATTTAACTTTTATAAATACTGTTTTCTTTTTTGCTTCCTTAATATTTCTTCCTTTTAAATAGCTCTTCTTTCCAAAATGTCTATCATTGTGATTAAAAGACTCAGGAATAAATCCCTTTTTCAATACTATTTATAATCAATAAAATGAATTTCAATAAAATAATTAGTTAAAAAGTGTGTCTACTTAAATTTAATAATTCAATCAATTATAATTATAACCAACCAAATATTTAGAATTAATCATTAATAAAAGCAATTTCAATTAAATAATTAAAAAATTTGTCTATCTAAATTAAATAATTAAATTGATTATAATTAAGTGATTCAAATATTTTTATGGATGATTAAATTAAATATGTATTAGATAATTATATTATAATAATTAAATATTAGTATTAAATTAATTATTCATTAAAAATTTTAACTAAAATATTAACAATGAACGTTGATCATTAAAATTTATTGTTCTAGTTAATTCGCTAACTAAACGGAAAAGTCTTCATTATTTAGTCAATAAATAATTATCAAATAAATTTAGTTTAACTATAAATCAACTAATAAATAATTTAGTCAAACAATTACCAAATTAATTGGCTAATTAAACAATTCGATAAAAATGATTAATTAAAAAAAATAAATTGACAAAAAATTGATTTTTTGAAAAAGAAAAATTTACTCACTGACAATAGCACGAGAGGATTGTTGAGTAGCTTCAGCTTCTGCTTTACCATCTTTTGGACCATTAGTATTTGAACTCATGTACTGGGCTTGAGTCTGACCTCGGAAACGTCCACGAAAAGGATTTGTTTGTCGAGTCTTTCGTTTTTTATGGACTAAACGTTGTTTTCCAAATACATTTCTCTTCAAACGATTTTGAAATAATTCAGGATCATCCACATGCTTTTTCTCTTCAAATTCAATATTTTCTTCTTTTATTAAATTTGATCTTCGATCCACTAATAATATTATTGAAGCATCTTGGCAAAAATCTACTATCCGCTTTCCTGCAATTTTCTCAACCTATAAATTTAAAAGAATATTTATTTTTTTACAGACTCTTGTTAATTTTACTAATTAGTAAAATATATATTACCAATTCCCATCAGAAACAATTTTTGACCAATTTTTTACCAATTTTTATCAATAAAGTTGACAACTTTTATGATCAATGATTGAAAGAAAATAGAAAAAATATAATTAAAAAATTAAAAATAATATTTCTGTTTACAAATTTTTCTTTTTATATTTATTAAGAAATTGTGTAAAATATTACTTAACTTAAATATATAGAAAGTTTAAGTAAAAAATCAGTAAGTATTTTCTTAATTCACGGAGTATAAACGTTGTGAATTAATTTCACTTTTCTAAAAAAAAAACCAAAATATTTACCTCCGACTTGTCTAAAATTTGATTTGAAACGAATACAGTTCTCGGTTTACTTTTGTATATGTCTTTGAAGAAATTTTCACCAGGTGAAAAATCCCGCTTTGCTCTTTCGAGATAACACGTGTTTTGTATCTCATCTTTATAGGCAATGAAATTCTGCAATGACAATAAAAGCAAAAATCATTAAATAAAATTTTAAAATTTTGTTCAATTAATTTTTCAAACAAATAAAAAACAAACAATACTCACCGTGTGACGATCCGAGAAACTCAAAGAACTTGAATAATTAACATCGTCTGGCGAAATGTCATTACCATCTAATGATCTGTCAAACCTTGTTTTTTCCTAGAAAAAAAAATTAAATAGTTTTATTAATTAATTTAATTTATTTATCATTAAAAAAATGTTCAATAAAACAAAAACAATTTTTGGAGAATTTTGGCAAAATTCCCCCTGGAGTCGAAGAATAGAGTTAGAAGTAAATAAAAAAATAGAGAACTTTTTTTTCTGAATATTTTTTGGGGTTTTTTTTTTAAATGAGAAACAAAAAACAATTGGAATCTTTAAAAAAATTAGGTAACTTTTCTCTTTTTCTAAACAGACGCAAAAAAGCCGTTTCTTACATAAAACTTGGAAAAAACGGATCTCGCGAAAATGACGAGGACCACGAGAATTAGTCGCATGTCGAGCATCTGGAGGTCTTCGTCGACTGGAGCTTAATTCCCGAAGTTCCTTTTTGCACTCGAGACGAAAACTCCCACTCTTCGCGAAAATGAGATTTCTTCGTTGGATTACCCTCACTCTTTGATTCTACACATCGTTCTAAGGGACCTTTTCTCGTCGGGAGAAAAAAGGGACAATTAATAGAAAACCATTCCGCGAAACTCGAGTCTCATTACACTCGGCAAAAACAGAAATGGGCAAATTACCAAAATAATTTTCGCTAGAAATCAATTTTTAGCTGTGTGAATGCCACCGACAAATAATTAAAATGTCAATGATATTTTCTAATTATTTTCTATTTATTTCTAAAATTAATTTGTAATTTTAAATTGTTTATAAAAATTATTACAATTTTCCTAATTTATTAATTTATATTTACTCTCTATAAAATTCATTCATAATCAAATTAACTAATTACTTTCATTAAAAATAAAAATAAATTATTAATTCAAAATTTTATTAATTTATTAATTTAATAATCTTTAATTTAATTTACAATTAAATACGAAAACTGATTTTGGAAATTAATAAATAAAATAAAGTAAAAAAATTAATTCTTTTGCTTATAAGAAAGTTTCAATATTATAATGTGAAAATTAAAAATAATTTCCGAGTTTAAAATCATTACGACCGAAAAATGAGAATTAAATTCGCGATATTAATTTGTAAAATTAATCAGCGATTATATTATTCTATCTACATCCCTGATTTGAGAGATGCATCTCTAAGCTCTCACGCGAATTTTCTTACTTCTGTTTTTACTGTAGCTTGTCTCGCCTTGTGTAATATCCGTCTCGAGATCTAGTTACTAAAATGATTAGGCGAATTAAGCATTATACGAATGCACGTGAGGGAGAGAAATGCTATAATTATAAATTAATCTAATAATAACACCGATGAAATGTACACGAAACTTATTGTACAATCATTTAAAGAAATGTAAATGAAAACTAAAGTCTAAATAAGAGGACAAAAATTATATTAATTATAAATAATTTAAACAATGTGTAAACAATCTTTATGAAGATAATTATAGTTTACAACGATTATAAACTAATTGCAAATTTTATTAGCACTTATTATCAAAATTTATTAATTTTTTTTTATTTATTAATTAATAATTCTGTTACGAATTGATGACACCTGATAAAATCTACTATGTATCAGTTTTAATATTGATGTCATCAATTCTTTCAATGACACGGTTTCGTTAATCATAAGGCGCACGTCCCCCTTTAGATGCTCTAATTATGCATTCCAAATCATTTATAGAAAACAAGTCAGCTCTTCTCTTTGACTCGTAGTTATCAAATATTCCTCTTATTAACATTTATCAATTAAATAATTTCCTTATACTGCCTAATGTCACGCATCAGTTCAAGATCACACGTCTTGTGATCGAGAGAATATTATTGAAGGGCTCTTTCATTATTTACTTCTTTTTTTTTATTTTCAAAACATTTTTCGAGTTCCAATACCGATAATATTGTAAAAACTATGTAACATAAAAAAATTAATATTTCACAATTTACATTTAAATAAAATTTTCTAATAATACAAATTTATTACATTTTTTAATATTCTTTACTCTCTATTATTGAACATAAAAATAATTATTTAAATAAATTATTGAATTACATATTAAAAGCAAAATTCTCGTGGATTATTAAAAAAATGATAATAAATTATAATAAATTAGAATAAAATTATTCGAAAGAATTCAATTATTTGTTAAAATCTTAATAAATTTATAAAACAATTCAATTATTTTTATAAATAGTAAAATTCTTCGTAACAATATTAAATTATTTTTATAAGTAAAAAAACTCCTTCAGAAATTCAATTATTTCCAACACAATCTTAATAAAATTCAATAAACAAATTTTTAATTATAATTATTAACAGACACAATTATTTTAAAAAGTTGAAAAAAATTCTTTGTTTAATTCAAATATTTTTAATAATTTCAATTTAAATTATTAAGAAAACTACAATATTTTCAAAATATGTAACTGAAAGAAATTCTTCAAAAAATTTAATTATTTACAAAAATTCAAATAAAATTGCTTAAAAGAATTTAATTTTCTATCAATAATTTTAATAAAATTTAATAGTAAAATTAATACTTACAATTATATTAACAAAATCGATTATATCTAAAAAAATTTTTTAATTTTTTGAAAGAATTCAGTTATTTTGAATATTTTTAAAAATTCCTTGAATGAATTGAATTATTTTAAAAAATTGTAAAATTCTGAGAAGAATTTAATTATGTTCTAAAAATTTTAATAATATTCAATAATGAAACGTTTAATTTCAATTATTAAGAAACATGATTATTTAAAAAACTCGAAAGATATTCTTCATTAAATTCAATTACTTTAAAAATTTTAATTTTAATTTAATAAAAAAAATTCTTCGAAGGAATTTAATTATTTTCAAATTTTCTGATAAAATTTTTTGTAATAATGCAATGATTTTCAATACATTAATTTTAAAATTGAAAGCATTTAAAAAGAAAAATTATTAAATTATCAACATGAAAATTAAAAATTTTTCTAATATGCACTTGTTAGGTAGGTAATTAAAAATTTAAATTCCCGCTACAAGAAGTTATGTTTAAAAATAACAATTTGCACTGCGATATACTGAGTACTACACAACCCTGATAAAGTGATCTGCAGCGGGAAAATCTAAAATTAAACCCTCACTCTTTTCCCTTCGTTTAATTAAATATTTTCTAGTTTTTTAATTAACTTAAACTTCTTTATTTATTTGACTAAAAAAGAGTACTATATAAGCGGTTAAAATTCTATATAAATTTGCATTGAATATACACTCGCAATTTTAAAACATTTTTTTTCTCTTTTACTTTTCAAATGTAAAAAACTTAGATTTTTGTTGTTATAGACAGAAATTAATTTAAAAAAAAAATTCTAATCAAAAAGTTTTAGAAAAAAAGGTTTTTCCTTTGGAAATTTTTCTCTAAATTATATAAACTTGTTAAAATGCAATTTGTACAATTTTTCGAATAAAAGTTCTCTTAAACGACAAATATGTAAAAGGTTATTGACGCGTTTATCTTTTCTCTCTCTCTATATATATATAAAAGCTGCATAACATTAACCTTTCGCTGAGAGAAAAAAAGATTCACCTGTACAGGTACCGAGAGATTAATCTTTCATTTTACATGAAGTCTTCATATTATAGAATTTTCGACATAATATATATTTGATATTCCACTACAAAGAAAACTAATTTTTTCTACAAGAAAATTTTTTTTCAATTTAAAAATTATTAAATTATTATTCTTATTAATTATTATTCAATTATTATTATTAAACTAACAAATGATACGCGCGAAACTCTATTCCATTTATTAATATTTTATAAACTCAAAAATGTTATATTTTCAAGAATTTTAATATAAATTCAATTATTTTAAACAATTTTGAAGAAATTCTTTTAAAAAAATCATTATTTTCAAAATTTTTATTAAAATTCCTTCAAAAAAGTCAATTATTTTCAAAAATTCAGATAAAATTCTTCGAAACAATTCAATTATTTTTATAAATAAGAAAATTCTTCGCAAGAATTAAAATATTTTTATAAATAATAAAATCCTTCAAAGGAATTCAATTATTTTCATAAATAATAAAATGTTTCAGAGGATTTCAATTCTTTTCAATACAATTTTAATAAAATTTCTGGAATGAATACAATTATTTTTAAATAATATTATTTAAATTAAATTATTTTCAACAATTCTGATAAAAAATTCTTTGAAACAATTCAATTAAATTATAAATTGTAAAATTCTTGGCAAGAATTAAATTATTTTCAATTAGATACAATTTTAATTACATTTTCTCGAAAGAATTCAATTATTTGAAAAAATGTTGATAAAATTCTTGAAATGAATTCAATTATTATATTCAAATTTTTTTTATAAATACTTCACAAGAATTCAATGATTTTCAGAACAATCAAAATTTAATTATTTCTGAAAATAATTGAATTCTTGAATAGAATTTTATTAAAAATTTTTTAAATAATTGAATCCCTGCCAAAAAAATTTATTATTTCTCCAAGTAATTGATTTTGTGTAAAATTTTAAAAAATAAGTGAATTTTATGAAAATTGTATTTAAAATAATTGAATGCCTGATGGGAAAAATTGACTATTTATTGATATAATTGAAATTTTCGAAGGAATCATTTAAAAATGGAATTGAAAATAAGTGAAATTCTGATAAGAATTTTATTATTTATATAAAAATAATTGAATTTTTTACGAAAATTTTTACCTATTATTTATAAATTGACTTTTTGCTAAGAATTTTATTACAATTATTGAAAATAATTGAAGTCTTCATAAAATTCAATTACTTAAAAAATTTTCAGTAAAAATTATTAAAAAAAACTCCACTGTTTTCAAAAATATTGAAATAATTTCTTAAAAACAATTAAATTATTTTTAATAGGTACAATTTTAAATATATTTTTTTATTAAAGAATTCAATTATAGAAAAAAATGTTGATAAAATTCTTGAAATGAATTCAATGTTTAAATTTTTTTATAAATTCTTTACAAGAATTCAATAATTTTCAGTACATTAATTTTAAAATTTTAAACATTTAAAAAGAAAAAATATTTTTAAAAATTAGGAAACAAAAAGGCAAACAACAACTAACTTCAAACTGCAAACAGATTACCGGAATACAACGATTATTTAATATAAATTATTAATGAGTACTATAATTATGATGTATTACATATTTTTTCTTTTAAATAATTTTCTTTTCTTTTTCCATAAAAAAAATGTATTATTTTTTGATTAATCACAAAAATTAGGAAAAGTAATTAATGTAACTTCTATTGCCCTCGTGGGTTTTCTCAATATTTTGAGGCCTTGGGTGAACCTTTTTGAAGGAGGTGAAAGGGGATTCAAAGTTTGCTTGACGTCATTCAATAAATATAGAGAGGAAAAGAGTGAGAGCAC